CCAGCTACTTGGGAGGCTGAGGCAGGAGACTCGCTTGAGCCTAGGAGTTGGAGGTTGCTGTGAGCTGTGATGCCACAGCACTCTACCCAGGGGGATAGCTTGAGGCTCTATCTAAAAAAAAAAAAATGTACATCCAGTCACATCACTTTCTCTGATCAAAAAGTACTCTTGTGAGGCTGAGGCAAGAGGATCTCTTGAGCCCAAGAATTTGAAGTTGCCGTGACCTATGATGATGTCACAGCACTCTAGCCTGGGCAAAAGAATGAGATTCTGTCTCAAACAAAAAGTAATCTTGGCTGGGTGCAGTGATTCATGCCTATAATCCTAGCACTCTGAGAGGCTGAGACAGGAGGATTGCTTGAGCTCAGGAGTTCAAGACGAGCCTGAGGAAGAACAAGGGCCTATAAACCCAATTTCTTGGGAGGCTGAGGCAAAAGGATCACTTAAGCCCAGGAGTTTGAGGTTGCCGTGAACTATGATGCCACTGCATTCTACCCAGGGCAGCAGAGCAAGACTGTCTCAAGAAAAAAAAAGTAGGCTGGGCAAGGTGGTTCACGGCTGCAATCCTAGCACTCTGTGTAGCCAAAGTGGGTACATTGCTTTTTTTACCACCAGCTAGAAATAGAAAAAACTAGCTGAGAATCATGGTGGGCACCTGTAGTCATAGCTACTCAAGGAGGTTGAGGGAAGAGGATCACCTGAGCCCAAGAGTTTGAGGTTGTTGTGAGCTATGATGATGCCATGGCACTCTACTTAGGGTGACAGAGACTCTGGAAAAAAAAAAAGTACTCTTGGGGCTTTTTTTTGGTCTCCCTTTGCCACCCTCAGTAGAGTGCTGTGGTGTCATAGGTCACAGCAACCCCTAACTCTTGGGCTCAAGCAATTCTCTTGTCTCAGCATCCGGAGTAGCTGGAACAGGCACCAGCTACAATGTCTGGCTATTTTAGAGATGGAGTATCCCTCTAGCTCAAGCTGGTCTTGAACTCATGAGCTCAGGTGATTCACCCACCTCGGCCTCCCGAAGTTCTGAGATTACAGGTGTAAATCACCATGCCCAGCCCTGGGGCTTTTTTTTTTTTTTAAGAGGGGGGTAGTCCCACACAGTCATCTAGGCTGACCATAGGTGGGCATCACCAAATCCAGCTAATTGTTTTTATATTTTGTAGAGATGGGGGGTCTTGCTATGTTGCCTAGGATGGTCTTGAATTCCTGGCCTCAAGCAATCCTTCTTGCCTCTGGCCTCCCAGAGTGCTGGGATTGCAGGCAAGAGGCACTGTACCCAGCCTTCCAAAGACTTTCTTCTGACTTAAAATCTAAACTCTGCCACAGCTTGGTCTCCCCCCAGCATCCTTCATCACTCTCCCCAGTGCCCCCTTGGGTCTCTGCAGCCCACTCCCCTTAGGTGGGTGCACTTCACATGGTCCTCACAAGGCTCCTTCCTCAGAGCCCCTTCCTGTCCCTTCAGCGAATGCTGCCTCGCTCCAGAGTGAATTTCTATCAGATCATTGGATTGTACTTTCTTTTCCCAGAACTCATTGTTTGAAATGATCTTGCTTGTCCACTTAGGTCCTATCTATGGTAGGTCTCTCCTACTGCAGTGGCTGGGCTACGGCAATGCCTGGTTCTAACATCCTGTTGAATGAATGTTTTATTTTCCTTACTCCTGGCATTTCAGAGCAAAACTGTTTTAAGACAAAAGTTGAGAATAAAGAAAATGACAGCTTCTCAAAAAAACTTTCAAAGCAGCTTAGGAAAGGGGTTTTGAAAAAGGTACCATCTATAGAAAGCAATGTGTGGGACCACTTCTAACATCTCCACAAGGAGAGATGGGTGCAGGAAGAATTCTCACATATTCCCAGAGATAACATTTCCAAACAATGGCTCCTATTGTAGTCATCTTTATTTGGTGCAGAATTCAGAATCCATGTTAGCTAGTGTTGCCAGCGCAGCCAGCCGCTGGGTGGGGAAGGGGCTGGCCCGGCCCTGCCCTACTCTCCAGGATCATCCCAGCCCCCAGGCTGGCTTTCCCTCTAGCTCTCAGCTGTTTAGCTGCTCAGCCTTTGTCCAAGCGGGGCTGGAGGGTTCCAGTTGTCACCTTGTAAAATAGCTTCTTCTTTGGATATGGCCTCACTCAGGCCCTGTAGGTCATCAAGCAGGACAGAGAGGGACCCTGGGAAAGAAGACAGCAAAAGATGGGCATCAGACAAGACAGGGCTCTTACAGTTACACAGTGAAAAGGCTGGCACAGGACATGAAGTTTAGGAGGGAGAAGAGTCTTTGGTCCAAGGTAGGTGTGAATAAAAAAGTTTGAGAGCCTCTAAAGCAGCAGTTCTCAACCTGTGGGTTGCAACCCCTTTTTAACAATGAAAATACACTGTGGCATTAGGAAGGTTGAGATTCACTGCTCTAAAGGATCATGACAACAAGGCTCCCAAGTGCAAAAGTTCCTCAAGTGCCCTCCATTTGCCCCTCTGTGCTCAGCCCATTACCTTTTATGGATTCCCGGGTAGGCTGAGCTGCTACTGGAGGTCCAGGTACTGGAGGCCTGGGACTGGATTCCACAGATTTCTCCTTGTCCAACAGGGAAGGAAGAACGGCCAACAGTCGCTGCTGCTTGTAATGGGAGAGGAGACCCTCCTGCTGCAAGGTGGCCTGGGAAGGAGAGGGTTAAACGCCACCTAGCCCAGGCAAAGCCTCCCTGTCCTCTTTCCACACTTCTATCCCCCAACCTGCCCAACATGGCCCTGGTCTCTGCTGTCCCCTACCAGCATGAGGTTCTTGTCCCTCTCCAGCTCCTGCACACGCCGGGTCAGTCGCTGCGCCTCTTCCTTCCGGGCCTCCTCTTGTAGGCGCCTGAGTTCCTGGTTCCGCTCCTTTTCTCGGGTGGCTTTGTGCTGGATCTGGCGCAGGGAGACCACTATAGAGAAGCCAAGGCACAGAGGGGAAAGGTTTGAGTCAGCCCAGAGGCAGCCAGGTCCCATGAAACCAAGACTGGAATGATAGGCAGGGATCACCAGCTCTGTAGAACTCTTGTTCCCTCCATACAGTGGGAGGAATGGGCTGATGCTTTAGGATCCTGGGCTATGAACCCATAGTACCTTCCCCATCCCAAACCATCCCAGAGAGCTTTAGAGGAAATCTGAATATGGACTGGATATTAGATTTTGTGCAATTAGTATTCATTTTCTTAAAGCATAATGGTTATACAGCTACACAGGTGAATTTCCTATTTGTGGGAGATACAGCTGAACAACCATGTTTGCTACTTACTTTAAATGGCTTATATATATATTATATAAATATATTTAAATGTTATACATGTATGTAAATAAGAGATCAAGTGTGGCAAATGTTAACTGCTGCAGCAAGTTAGAGAAGACACATGAATATTCACTACATGCGCTCGGCGCCTATAGCTCAACCAGCTAAGGCGCCAGCCATGGACACCTAGGGTGGCGGGTTCGAATCCCCAGCCCGGACCTGCCAAACAACGACGGCTGCAACCAAAAAATAGCCGGGCGTTGTGGCGGGCGCCTGTGGTCCCAGCTACTTGGGCGGAGGCAGGAGACTCGCTTGAGCCCAGGAGTTGGAGGTTGCTGTGAGCTGTACTGCCACGACACTCTACCCAGGGGACAGCTTGAGGCTCTGAATATTAATAAAAAGAATATTCACTACATGACTTTTTTTTTTTTTTTTTTTTGTGGCGACAGAGTCTCACTTTATTGCCCTTGGCAGAGTGCCATGGCATCACAGCTCATAGCAACCTCCAACTCCTGGGCTTAGGCCATTCCCTTGCCTTATAGCTGGGACTACAGGCGTCCAACATAATGCCCGGCTTTTTTTTTGTTGCAATTCGGCTGGGGCTGGGTTTGAACCCGCCACCCTCAGTATATGGGGCCGGCGCCCTACCCACTGAGCCACAGGCACCACCCTCCTTTTTTTTTGAGTCAGAGTTTCACTCTGTTCCCCAGGCTAGAGGTCCATGGTATTATCCTAGCTTGCAGCAACCTCAGACTCCTGGGTTCAAGCAATCCCTCTGCCTCAGCCTCCTAAGTATCTGGGACTAAAGGTAGCCACGCCAGCACCTGGCTAATTTTTCTAACTAGTAAAAAATAGAAAAATCAGCTCAGGCTGATATCAAACTCCTGAGCTCAAGGGATCCTCCTGCCTCAGCCTCCCAGAGTGGTAGGATTGCAGGCATGAGCCACAGTGCCTGATGTTACATGATTCTTTTAACTTGTCCAGGTGCTTGAAATGTTTGCAGGGGAGGGCAATTGTTGGTGTTAGACATCTAGAAGATGGTGGCCTTTGTGCAGGGGTAGTGACTGGGACAGGTCTGGGGGACTTTGGCATTTCGTCATGTACTACTGCTTCTTGATCCGGTACTGGCTACATGGCTCACCATGTAAGAATTCACCTGTGCTATTCCTTGATGCTTTCATTACTTGCATACTTCAATAAAAACCTTTTTAAAAGTTTGAGAGGGAAATAATAAGCTTATTTCTCAGCACTTCCTTCTTCCTGAAAGGCCCATGTCCACCCTGGCAAACCTCACCAGCCTTTGCATGCTCCCTCCAAGCCTCATTCAGTCTCCTCTCTGTGTCTGAGAGCTGCTCCCGCAGCCGAGTTTCCACTTCAGCCACCTTCTCTTGCAGAGCTGGGGTGAGGTGCAGATGGGGAGTGTCAGGAGGAGACTCAGTTCACAATTCCCACTCTGCCCTCCACAGGGAGCCCCCACTCCGCCTCCCATACCTTGCCTGTAGATCTCCTGCTGTTGAGTCAGCTCCTGCCGGAGACTGGCAGCCTCCTCTGTGCTCTCCTGCTGTCCCTGGCGAGCTGCTTCCAGCTGCAGCCCCACATTGGCCAGGGACTCCTGGGTCTGCTGCAGCTCCAGCTCCAGCTGCTGGGCCACCTTGCTCAGTTGCTGTCGCTCTGCCTCCCCTGGGGGGAGGCATGCTTGCTCAGGCCAAGACCCCATGTGCCCTAGACCCAGGTCTTCCCTCCTCTTCTCCATCCCTCAGACTCCAGGACCAGAGGTACCTTGCTCCCGGGCCCGGCCCACCTCCTGCTGGATAAGGTGTGCACTCAGCTGCAGTTCTGCATCCAGGCGGTTCCGTTCTTCCCGTAGCTGCTGCAACTCAAGGCTTAAGTCTGTGGCTGGTGGGGGTGGGAGTGGGGGACAGCTGGAACAGGGGAGAGAAAGTCAAGGGGGAGCACCCAGCTGACTGGCCAGTAAGGCTACCTATCCTTCCTCAGTCCTCATGGTCTGGGGTCCTAGTAGCCAATACCCTTAAGCCCCCAGCCCCACCACCACCATCCCATCCACCTCAAAGTGCCCATACTTCACCTCTCTTGGCGCAGCTGAGCAAGGGCCAGTTTTCGAGCCATCAGGCCTGGGAGATAAAAGGCAGAGTACAACAGAGATGAGTTTGCAAGGGGTAAGGGGGAGACAGGGGAGTAAGGGAAATAGAGATGTAATGACTGGTGAGAAAAGGACGGTAGATAGATATAGGACAGAGAGAGCTGCGCCAGGAAGAAGAGGGCCAGATCCTGGGGGCGGGGGCAGGGGCAGGCTGCCCTACCCACCTTGAATGGTGTGGACTTTTCGGACTGCATAGCTGAGTCGGTTGTTGAGGCTGGGAAGCTGGGCTGCAGCCTGTTCCATCTTAGCCACAGTGCTCTGGACCCAGATCTGAGAGCTGGAGAGGGCACAGGGCACTGACCTTCCACGCCTCCCCTCATCCCCAAAGGACTTGCTGTACCTTGTACAGATAACCCCTCTATCCTGTTCTGTCATAAACATGAGGAATGCACAGCTTCTGTCAATTTTCTGAAGGGCTTTTGCCCCAAGAATGCATTAAGTAACTGTATATCTTTTCAAGCAACCTGTGAAGCTTTTTCATAACCTGTATTTTGTTCACTGCTATGCATTAGAGGTCAAAGTTATGCTGTCCAACAAGCCCAGGAGCATAAATTCTCTGGAACCAATGAAAGGTAGGTCCATATACTTTATCCACAGAAGCGTCCGGGGGCACAGCTGGGACTGCCTCAGGAGAGTCTAGATCTGCACTGACAGACAAGCAAGTGAGGACAAAGTTGTAACTTTGTCCCCAGCAACACAATAAAGATCATCTTGACCTGGAAACCAAGTAGGTGCTCCCACCACCTATGGCAGCTCTTATTAAAGCTACTTTCTGATAAGTCTCTAAGCCATTTAGGTACTATATAACAAACCTAGTAGCACTCTGAGCTTGGATTGCTTTAAGTCTGGATACTTTTGACAATGAATCATTAGCAAGAAGCATGTCTGTGATCTACTACTACCAAAGCAAACCCTGTCCACAGTGTATCTTTCCGTCCTCCTGGAGGTAGGAGGCACTTGGGATGGGCTGAACCCAGGTGGTGATGCCTCATAGTCTAATTCCATGTATGTTTGAAAGCTTTCATGGTATTTTGAAGCTGAATTAGTTCCCAAAGTACACATCCAAGAGAAGGAAATAATGGGCAAAGACACGCCCTAGATTATAACTTTGCTAAACCAAAAACTGTTATCTGAACCATCAAAAAGCCTCATGATAGGCTTGGTGCCTGTGGCTCAAGTGGCTAAGGCGCCAGCCACCTACACCTAAGGTGGCGGGTTCAAATCCAGCCCAGGCCCGCCAAACAATAATGGCTGCAACCAAAAAATAGCTGGGCGTTGTGGTGGGCGCCTGTGGTCCCAGCTACTTGGGAGGCTGAGACAGGAGACTTGCTTGAGCCCAGGAATTGGAGGTTGCTGTGAGCAGTGAAGCCATGGCACTCTACCCAGGGGGACAGCTTGAGGCTCTGTCTCAAAAAAAAAAAAAAGCCTCATGATAACAGTAAACATTTACAGGGCACAAATTCCAAACCAATCACTGTGCTAAGAACTCTACACCAGGCTCGGCACCTGTGGCTCAAGCGGCTGAGGTGCCAGCCACATACACCTAAGGTGGCGAGTTCGAATCCCCAGCCCAGGCCCGCCAAACAACAATGATGGCTGCAACCAAAAAATGGCTGGGCGTTGTGGCGGGCGCTTATAGTCCCAGCTACTTGGG